TATTATAGCATCTAGTGTTTGCAAACTAGGATATATACCTTCAAAATATTCTCTCTTATTTTATACAGTCGCTGGCTCGTTTGGGTACATTGCTGGAAAGCTATCCTATGATAAATATTGCAAAGAAATGTTTTTGTCCATTAGTGATAACGCTTTTAAGGAAAAATATGCTAAAAATGTCTGATATTTTATACTCTTAGTATATTTCCTACAGAGTTTTTCATGGTCCCAAAATTATATGCTGATAAAATTGCTGACTTGAAATTTACGAACCTGTTTAGTCAAAAATTTGTTTATTATATACTCCTCTTTCTTAATCGTTTTCTTTCATTTTGTATTATATTTTTAGCCTAGTGCATTATTTGCTACAATTCTTATCCATTAACTTAGAGCACCAGCCCTAATAATATTTCTTTTTTGGTGCTACATTTATACTTTTAATCGATTGACCTAGCATTTAGTCGCCATGCTTTTTAATAAAATTTAGGTTTGATTTTCTAATTGGCCTTTGTCAGTAAAAAAGGATTATTTATTTAATATGAACTTTCGCGTACATAATTATATACCTGAAAGATGCGATCTTATCTTGAGACTTTTTAGCCCATTTTAGCGGATAAATTTCTTCTCATTTGACTAGCGCGCAGAATAATATTTCAAACTTAACGACAGGTATTACCTTTGATGATTTCGACCAGGGTTTCGTTCATAATTTTGTCTAATTCAAATTCTAATATTCTGTTACTCCTTGATATTTTTGGGTGTAACCCCAGGGCTTGGTAACACAACATAGGTTCACTCACAAGGACATTATTTTGCATTTTTCTTGTCTGACGCTTCTTAATATCCTAAAATGTTTTGATCTTACTACCTCTAGAATTTACCTCCCTTTAGAAATTCACTTTTGCTTGCTATCGATAATCTTTAGGCATCGTTTGCTTTAAATATTGATTTTTTCATTCTTAATTACTAAGAGCGCTAATAAATGATCCTTTTCCTTTTTTCTCTAGCTAATAGCCTTACTGGATGCGAAATTATTAATTATGTCTATATAAATGCATCTCTTTATCATTCATGTCGAGTATTGCAGAATAAGGCTAATAGTTTCATTCCAAATACGTTTTGAGGATCAATAAGATCGACGCCTCACTTGGAAGCTTATTAACTTAATCATTCTACATAATTTAATTATTTATATTTAAATTTTACTGCGATGTATTTGATCGTTGACACTCGTAGCTCTTCAGCAGAGTGATGGAATTTACTTAATCTTGAATCAAGTATCGTAAAGGTGAGATACTTAGACATAGAAGATTTTGAGATTTCAGTAAACCTTGCAAGCCAAGATGAATTTGATAGCACTTTTTCGCTTGATTATAGACTCATGAGGAAATTCTATTCTCGGCTCTTATATCACCTTAAATAAATTCAAAACTACTATCTGTTTTTGTTTAATATTACTTATATTCGTATAAGAGTAGTGCTTCGAGACTACCTGTAAATCAGTGTAATAAGACGTATTCACCCTATTTCGTCTGAAGTGATGAAAGACTGATATTAGAATTTTCCCACAATGATATGAGTTAAGCTGACGTTTTCCATTGAATTTCGCATAGCCTTGCTTTCCCAAAAGTTGTTTCATCCTGGGTGGACTGCAGTTTCGACCTCGCATTGGTCTTATCAACACCTTCAGCGGCATTCCAACCGCGACAGTGCA